GGAAACGTCAGAGTTATTGTCAACGAAGAAGGACAAGAAGAACCAATAAAATTCGAACAAGTAATGTTCGTGCCAGACTTGAGAACTAATTTACTCTCCGTTTCGAAGATTACGGAGAAGGGATTTGACGTAACGTTTAAGCGAGATAAAGCACTCGTAATGCAAAAGGGTAAACCTGTGCTTACTGCCACGCGTATTGGCGATTTATATTATGTTAAAAGTTCACAGCCATCAGCAAATATTTCTGAAGCGAAAAATATCAAACTTCAATCCTGGCATATTCGGATGGGTCACCTCAATGAAACCGATTTAAAACGTGCCGTAGGTATGGTACATGGCATGAATTTCGACCGCGGGGAAAAATTAGCGACTTGTGAAATTTGTGTTAGCCAAAAACAAACACAAGAGAGTTTTCCTAAGCAAAGTGAGAAACGTACCACAGAACTACTTGAAATTGTGCACAGCGATGTATGTGGGCCTATGAGGACTTGCTCACACTCAGGTGCTAAATATTTCGTGACATTTACAGACGATTTTTCTCGCTACAGTGAAGTGTATTTCTTAAAACGCAAGTCTGACGTATTGCAAATGTTTAAAATTTTCAAGAATTCAGCCGAAACTTTTACGGGAAAGAAAATTAAGTCACTCCAATCAGACAACGGCTTAGAGTATATAAACAACGATTTTCAAAATTATCTAGACGATTGTGGAATTAGGAGGCGGTTGAGTGCACCTTATACGCCACAGCAAAATGGCATCGCAGAACTAAAAAATAGAACGCTTTTGGAAATGTCTAGATGCATGTTAAAGCAGGCGTATCTACCAGCGAAATTTTGGGCAGAAGCCATTAATACAGCAAACTATATTAGAAATAGGTGTCCAACTAAAGTTCTTACAAGTGAGGTACCGCTGAAACTCTGGTCGGGGAAGATCCCTACAGTTGTTCATTTGAGACCGTTTGGTGCAAAATGTTACGTTTTGATAAAAAACAAGCTAAGCGGTAAGTTTGACCGATCTGAAGAGTGTATTTTAGTTGGATATTCAAATGAGGCTAAAGCTTATCGACTCTGGTCTCCCGTAAAGCAAAAAATTTTGGTAAGCCGCGATGTAAAATTTTTAGATGAAACGTTCTACCATTCTAATAACGAGAAACAAGCTAAATTAGAAATAGAATTGGAATTGAAAGCGGCTAGAAACGAAACTGATTGCGAAGAAATTGCTGAAAGGTCTGTCAGCGAATGCGAAAGTGAAGGTGCATCTTCATCGTCGAAATCGAAATACGGTAGAGGTAGGCCGAGACTAGTGAGAATTGGCGTAAGGGGACGACCTCGTAAGAAGTATCAAAAGGCGGTGAGTAACACAAAAGAACAAGCTGATGACGGCGTGTCAGAATCGAGCTCTGATTTCGAAGATTGTGATAAATGGTTGAGAGCTTTATCCGAAATCAAGAACCCAGTGTGCAAACTTCGAAAGTCGCTTTATGGCCTACGACAATCTGGCTTTCAATGGTACCACAAATTAAGCACTAAGCTACGCCAAATGGGATTTCACTCATCCGAATGTGATCCATGCCTTTTTATTATGCGTAAGAATTCGAGCCTCACGCTGATTACTGTTTATGTGGATGACTTATTAATAGCTACAAATGATCAGTCGCACTTAATTGAAATCAAACAATCTCTCGCCGAAAGCTTTGAGATGAAGGACATAGGTCCAGTCAAAACTTGCTTGGGTATAGAGTTTCGACAAGATCTCAAAAAACACAATGTATTTTTAAATCAACGTGAGTATGCGGAACATATTTTAAAACGTTTTCAAATGGAGGACTGCAAACCAGTTAAAACTCCACTAGAATTCAACACTAAACTTGAAAAACCCGCTGTTCGTGATGAAACTATAATGAAAAATTTCCATATCAAAGTTTAATTGGTGCCTTATTATACTTGGCTGTAACAACACGCCCTGACTTGGCTTTCAGCATTAATTTTTTGAGTCAGTTCAACTCTAACTACAACTCGACCCATTGGAAGGCAGCCAAGCGCGTATTAAGGTACTTAAAAGGTACTATAAATTATGGTATATTTTATGAACAATCAAATGCGAAATTGTATGCAGTAGCTGACGCGGACTGGGGAGCCAATATGGCTGATAGACGATCGTATTCTGGCTACGCCTTTATATTAGCTGGAGCAGCAATATCATGGGAGGCAGGCAAGCAAAGGACTGTATCACTATCGAGCACTGAATCCGAGTACATGGCTTTGTGTGAAACAACAAGAGAGGGTCTCTACCTGCGTAAAATGCTGAACGAAATCGGATTGGAACATAGCTCGATCGTGATCTACAATGATAGTCAAAGTGCACAAAAGTTAGCGCAGAGCAGTGCTTTTCACTCGCGTACCAAACATATAGATGTACGGCACCACTTTATACGCGAAAAACATCAAAACGGCGATATCTTGCTAAACTACATGCCAACTGAAGCTATGCCTGCAAATGTGCTCACAAAGGGACTTCCTGCCGAAAAACACTACAGATGCATCGGAGATCTGGGTATGGCTGATACAAATTGATTGTTGCTGCATCCTAACTACTTCGAGGGGAGGTGTTGGAGATTACGAAGAAATTTGTATGCAAGCTTTTGCGACATCTATTATCCATTTATATTTAAATGTCAAAACTCTTGAATTCAAAACAAATATTGTAACTCACATTTTCAAATGTCATTTTTCACTTCCGTTTTTTTAACTTCTTCTTTAATAAAGCGCACTCTGAGCAACAAACCGCTTAAAAGACATTTTCCCAAGACTAAGTAACGCCAAAATTCAGGAAGGGGTTGTTAATGGTCCCGACATACGGAAACTAATGAGTCGTCAAGATTTTGACCAAGTTCTGACAGACCGAGATTTAAATGCGTGGCTCGCATTGAAAGCAGTCATTAAAGGACTTTTGGGTAAAGAACGCAAAGACAACCACAGGCAATCTGTTGCAAGCATGTTGGCAGCTTTCGATGAAATTGGGGTTAATATCCCTGTTCGCGTACGCACTATCCAGTACTAATTTTACTGGTTTTTTACTGGATGTCATTTTCGTACGCAAAAACTTGCAAGAAACTAACAGAAGAGGGGAAATTGAGAGAGCAAAAATGACAGCTGAACTTGCAAGTTTTACTGGATTTTTACTGGATACATTTTTACTAGCAACTATTTGCTAGTAAGAAAAACAGCTGATGGCATGATGCTTAATGTAATTCACATTAACAAAATAATTGTTTGTGGTGCGTTTAGAGTTGCAATTGGCAAAATAAACCCATTTAAATATATAATAAGATGGAAAATACTAGTTTTCTAAGAAAATTGCCTCGGAAAATAACAAATAAATCAGCTGTTCATAAAACCAGCAACTTCTTGCTGGTTTTGCGTTTTCGTACTTTCTTGAATATTTCACTCATTGNGAGACAAGGATGAAATTCCAGAACATCTGTTGGACGAAATTATCGACCTTTCTGATGATGATGACGATGACCAAGATATTAGAGAGAGCAGTGATGTTGATCCACAGCCGCCTGCTAAACGGCAACTGGCCAGATCATTAATTTAATTTTTTTACTTAAAACTTTTCATAGCTAACATTTCAAAATTATATTTTTTTCCATATTTTTATAATTTCTTTTTCAATGTTTCTTCAAAACCAACACTGAATAAATTGGTATATAAGAAATGAGAAGTTAATTAATATTAAGATGGAAAACGCAAGTTTTGTATTATGATTGTTTTCTTTTCAAATGAAATTTATTGAAGAAACTGAGAAGCATATTATAGATCAAACAGAAAGCAACAAAGACTTAGTTTTGTGGAAAATATGTTCAAGAAGCATGAAAAAAAAATTTGCAACATTTTGCTTCATAAGCACTACAAAAATTTTCTAAATCAATTTTTTTTTAATTTTAATTGTTGCTCAGGTCTCTAGCAATAATTTGGCTTTAACAGATTGAAAAAATATCAATTAGTCGACAAGTTATAACCAAAAGCCTTATAAACAATATGCTGAAAATCGGCATTTGACTGCAAAGTTTGAAGGTCGATTAAAAAAAAAATCGAACTAACATAAACAAACGCCGCGATACGGGTCTTCTAATTTAGCCTCTATTTTCACCCCTCACTCTCAGAATCGACCTAACTTTTGTTAACCTGAATTTGTTCCACAGTGTTTTGTTAAGAAGGAAGTTAAAATATTTTTTAAGAGATTGAGTCATAAGTAGAAAACTAATTTCTCCGTTTTTCAAAGTTAGCTTCCGAAATCGAGATATGGGCTTTCGACTTACGAAATAGGACCTTTGGTAAAAAATTATTTTTAATTACTGTATGTAAACTACTAAAAAAAGTGAAAACATAGTCGTGGTACGCCTTTTGGTCTTATTTAAACGGTACATAACTTTTTTTTGTGCAAACTTATATTTCAGATGCTATAGGAGATCAATGGTCAGAAAAAATTTTGAACTGATTTTTAAAAAATTTGTGGCACCTGTAATATAGGTTTGCACAAAAAAAGTTATGTACCGTTGGAATAAGAGCACAAGGCGGACTATGCCTATATTTTTACTTTTTTAGTTATTTACATACAATAATAAAAAATAATTTTTTACCAAAGGTCCTATTTCGAACGTCGAAAGCCCATATCTCGAGGGAGGGGTTATCCGCCACTGTATTCATACATATGCATATGGATGTAGTTGTCAGTCGTTTTTTATATTTAGAATGTAGAGCTTTATTTTTCTCCTGAAAACATTGATACAGTTTTCGGTTTCTTCCAGTCTGTTTGCCAATTTGGGTTAATTTTTATCTTATGCAATGATGTTAACATTTATCATAAGAGGCAACTTACTTCAAACGAGCTTGGTACTCTAGTGAAAAATACACAAATATAATAGTATCTATGTAAATTTGTAATAGATCTGTAAAATTAAAACGTTGAAAATCTATGTAGTTAATTTTACTCACCATATTCTCCAAACGTAACACTAGTAAACAACGCGTCCTACAACCGCGTTGACATATAAACGTTAGGCTAGTTTCGGCGCTTTATTATAATATTTGGTTTAGCACTCCGATAATTGTAGTTTTCCGATATCGAATAAAAAAACTCATATGATCTTTTAATAAATCCAACAAAAAACACATCCACTTCAATCTTGTGTCTCTACCATGTACCTTATGCAGAAACAAACACGGAAATTATTTTAATAAATTTTAACATGCACACAAAGTGATTTATAGCGCACTCAGTTAAAATGCCACAAATTTGCTTAAAACCCGGAATTGATTTAAAAAGACACAATATTTACTCCCGCGTGAACGCGACTTATTAAAGGAAAATTTTCTATACAACTAATGCGCGTGGTAATCAGTTCAATCACAGCATTTCTCGTTATTTCTATTATCGCTAAAACAATCACTTATTTATTTTTGTCAAAGGAGATGGTAGCTCCATTTCAAAAGAAAATGTCAAAAGCACAGTATGCCAAAAGGGCTACTAAGAAGAAGCGAAACTACCTTTAAATTATCGTATCACTATAAAGTAGAGTTGTGCACTTTAGTTCTTATGAGTGAACCGTTCAGTTGTAGTTCGCTCACCTTAGTGAACTGGTTCTTTAGTTCGTTCAGTTCATTTAATTCAATTGACGAATTATCATATTTTTATCATACATATTACATACAAAACAAAAGCTTTGGTAATTCTAATTCTCAAAATACTTTTACAAACATAAAAACGCATGTATACAAATATGTTTAGGAACATAAATCACTAAAATATTATGCAGTCGTTTTCAATCGACGGCGTACATTTGCAGTAATGGTAATCTTAGCAGTATTGTTATTAATTTGAACATCGTTTCAAACATTCACAGAACTTTCGTATAAATAAAATATAAATAAACTAGTATATAAAACAAAAACTTTAACAAATTCATAAATAAAACAAGTAAGAGCAGCGCTGTCTTCGGCTATGCCGAAGGCTTCATACCTTTCATGAACATCTGCAAATTTAAGTTTGACAGATTACTGATTTTGAATACATCTGCATACATCGATAGAGGAGTTACATACTTATATAAAAATCGCATCTAAACAATCAGAGGTATGGAAGATATACTTTATATGGCACCAATCTAAGTGATTTTCACTGCTATGTGATCGGTATGTAAACCGGTAACACAATTTATTGGGTTTAGTTTCCTACATAAAGGAGATATATCGCAAAAACTGGTATCTGAACAATCAGTGCTATAGGAGATAAAGCTTATACAGCATAGATTTTGACGATTTTCTCAGTAGACTTTGTATTATTATTTATAAAAAATTTATCGGTTTTAGCTGTTCAAATAAAGGAGTTTTACAGTAAAATCCCATATGTGAACAATCAGATGTATGGAAGATATATGTTGTAGTCACCCGATCCTTGTTATTTTCACTGTACGTATTCTGTTAATAATGAGTGAAAATGGTGCGAAATTTCATGTTCCTAGCTGCATAAATGGAGGAGATATGATAAAAGACCTCATATCTGAACAATCAGTTGTATGGGGGCTGCAGGTTATAGTGACCCGATCTTCGTTATTTTCACTGTAAGTCTTCTGCTGATAATGAGTGAAAACAGCGCGAAATTTCATGGTCCTAGCTAAATAAATGGATGAATTATAACGAAAAATCTCATATCTGAACAATCAGTTGTATGGGAGCTATAGGTTATAGTTATCCGATCTTTTTAATTTTCACTGTAAGTTTTCTGTTGATAATTATTGAAAACAGTGCGGAATTTCCTGTTCCCAGCTTTATAAATGGAGGAGTTATAACGGAAAATTTTATATCTGAACAATCAGTTGTATGGGAGCTATAGGTTATAGTGACCCGATCTTCGTTATTTTCACTGTAAGTTTTCTGCTGATAATGAGTGAAAACAGCGCGAAATTCCATGGTCCTAGCTAAATAAATGGATGAATTATAACGAAAAATCTCGTATCTGAACAATCAGTTGTATGGGAGCTATAGGTTATAGTTCTCCGATCTTTGTAATTTTCACTGTAAGCATTCTGTTGATAATGGGTGCAAGTGCTGCAAAATTTCATGTTCGTAGCTGCATAAATGGAGAAGTTATAACGAAAAATCTCATATCTGAACAATCAGTTGTATGGGAGCTATATGTTATAGTGGTCCGATTCTTCCGTTTCCGACAAATGATTAATACATTATAAAAATACACCCACCTACCAAATTTGATCCGGATATCTCGAAAACTGAGAGACTAGATTGCATACAAACAGACAGACAGACGGACAGACGGACAGACGGACAGACGGACATGGATAAATCAACTCAGCTCGACGTTCTGATCATATAAGTATACATTTTAATGGGTCTATCTCTTTTTGTTCTGGTACTTACAAACATCGGACCAAAGTTTTAATACCATTTCATGCTCATGAAAGGTATAAAAATATGTACATATATATGTACGATATGCAAACACATTCAATTAGAAAGCTGGTTTGATTTAAAAAAAAAACGTTATACGCCAGATTAGTATATTCTCTTCCTGAAAAAACTCGTTTACAAGGAACTGAAGTAGCAACAATGCAAAAGCGTTTTAATACATATTGGGTTACACGTCATTCGTTCGTGCGAAGAATATTTGGATCGTGATCCAATATGAGAAATTGTAGCACCGACAAATTTAATTCAATGAGAAGACCGCACTAGTGAACTAGTTCATCTCAATGAACTAGTTCTTTAGTTCAAGAACCACCCAAGCCTACTATAAAGCTGTTTTTGACAGAAGACCAGAAAATATTTTTAAAACAATTTATATGCATAAGGGTGATCGAAAATAACTATCCTAACGAAATTAAGTCCTCAAATGGACCTTTTTACAGAGAAGAAAATTGTCCCATTTGGGTAAATTTTTATTTAAATTTTAAAAGTTTTCCATGTAAATAACATGATACTATTTTTTTTTTATCATGAAATATGTTATAACTACTGAACCGTTTGAGATAAAATTTTTCTAAATTTGGTTAATATAGGGGACCATCCGGTTAAGGTGCAGAGATGGTATTTTCAGGGACAGTAGTCAAGAGCTCTATCTTTAATTTAAGCCTAAGTGAAAGGTTTTATCACGTTATCTTTCTTTGCTAGAGCTTCTCAAATATAGCAAAAAAACGCGACTTTTGACACTTTGACCTCGTTTTTTTCAAAATCTGGACCTGATGGAATTTTTATACTTAACTGTCGAAGCAGCGTACGGCGCAAAAAACTGTTGTTACGTACGCTGTCAAAATAAAAAACCATTTGCACTTGTGAAAATGAACACAATTGGCAACGTAAGCGTAGCAGCGCAGAGCTGCGGTACGTCCGAGTAAATCGATTTCTATTTTCTACCACGCGTACGAGCGCACAGGGTTGCTTTAGAATGCCAAATGTCAATTACAAACCAAACATATGTACATACACAAACAGAAGTGGCAAAATTTGTTAAATCCTTAATTAATAATTATCGAAGATATTTTATAAATGGATTTACATTTCAAAAATTAATTGAGAAGGTGAGGAAGTACGGGTGCATATACGATTGGTCTGCAGCCGACTATAGGAACGTTCTCAAAAAAAGACAAAATATGGACACGAATTGGAGTTGCACTAAATACAAAAGGTAAAATCTATATGTATATTAGAATATTATAACATATTAAACTGAGGTTCGGGATGTCCAGACGAAGTGTGCAGGAAGCGGTGGAAGCCACTCCGTGATTCCTACATACGGCATATGCGAAGTGAGGAGCTGACGACAGGCAGTGGAGCACCCGCTCCAAGGCAAAAGTGGAAGCACGCAGATAATATGTCTTTTTTGAGCGAAGTTAGAGACTGCAGGCCGTGAGTATTGTTTTTTGTTTCCATTGATGGGAAATTTATATGGAATATTAAATTTAACTACAACAATTGGAACCAGAATGCAAAACGATGATGACAATACTGTTGCAGATACTCTAAAACAGAAAACCCTTTAGAAATGTCGCCACAGCCAGAAGTTTCCATCACCGATTTAATTGCGAATTGTTCAGGTTCACAAAGCGCAACTCCTAACACTCACCATCCATCCATCAAGGCGCCCCTAACAAAAGTTATGGAAAAGTGCTGTGAAAAGATAGCTGAAATCACTCCAGTTGATGATAAATCGCCCACTGTGCAGTTCTTTGTTAGTTTGGCCAACAAAATAACGTCCTTAGGTTTGTCAAGAGCTAATATAGATGCTATTGAAATGAGGGTTATGTCCGTAGTCCATGAGAAAATCGCATATCGCCGTAGGCCGCAGTAAGAACGTGCGCTAATTCATAAATTAAGCAATGCGGAATGCTGACCCAAAAACATATCGTCGTTTAAAGTACAAAACCGCGTATCAACAAATGGCAAAACCGCGTATCAAGATAATGCAAAACCGCGTATATGGGGTTGCATAAATTATTTTATAGGGAGTAAAAACACTCATATTTCAAAACGGTTGTCTTTTTTTATAAAGAAATCGCATTTCTAGCTTCTGTATTTCAGGACGAATGGATGCGGATTGAGCCAAGAGCTTGCGTGGGCAAATCCATTTTTTGGCAGCCAATGTAAGATACGCGGTTTTGTAGAATGAGGATACGCGGTTTTGTACTTTAAACGACGATATACTTATCTTTACATTTCATACAATTGGTGGATTCACAAGGTGTGCTATCTTGTCGTATTGTTATAATTTACTAAACTTTTACAATGGTTTAAAAAAATTATTGTTGCCTTCCACACTGAAAGAGTACTAAAACAGTACAACCTTGCTTGCTATGTTTATATGGTGTAGTAAGCAAACAGCTGTTCTTTGTTTACATTCGCTTCTCGTGAAAATTCTGTTTTGTTTTGTGCTTATACCATCTGGCAAATTTTGCTGCTTATAAAAATTGATCCTTTGCCAATTATTCAGGTAAGATCTAATGAATTATCTCTATTAATGGACCCAGATTAAATAAATGGTCTTGATTTAGCCAAAAGCGAGGCGTGTGCGCATCAATCCCACCAAGAAATGGACTATAGTAGAGGAAAAGAGGCTTATTGAGTTTTTGATGGCGAATAGAGATTTCGAGGTTGTTTTTTATTAAATAATTGCAATTTTGATCACACTGAAGGTAATAATTACAGAAGCCAAATGCTCAAGCCTACTGTTTGGTCACAGTTGAGAACACCTGTTTAACATATTTGACATGTCATAAGTATTGAAGAGCTACTCATTTGTGTATTCTCAGAGTTTGTACTCTTATTCCGTATACATACATCATTTTTCGTTAAGTTGAGCATTGTATGTACATAGCACATTCATATTCATATAGAAGTAAGCACACTCGCTGTAAGGCGGAGAAAGGGCATTTATTGTAACTAAAACAAATTGAATAAACACACTCGTTTTGGAAGTCAATCAGAGCGCATCGTTTGCCTTTTATTTAAAGTTTGCAACTAGCATTTTGGTAAATATTTTTAATATATTTTGCGGTTGTGAAAATCCTCACAATCCTACATTTTGGCGCCCAACGTGGGGCACGATTCTTAAATAAAATAATCGAGCATCCCCATCATTTTCGTCATCGCTGGAGGCTCGCATTGGTGGACTCCATCGTGGTCATTTCCAACATCGGAACACGCAAATTGCAATATCCAAGGTCAGATAAGAGTCATTGGGACCAAGTGTACACCATTCCACCCGAAACTAAAAAGAAACGGGGAAACAGTTATACTTTGCACTCACTTCGGCTTTGCAGTTTTGGGTAATTCTGCTAAGCACACACGGCTTGCGCACACTTTGCGTCGCCACCGCTGCTACTACTTGGGGGAGTCGCTGTTGCTGCCGCCGTCGCTGCCACTACTTAGCTGATACGCTGACGCGCGCTCGCACTTCATTTGCGCACTTTGCTGTGCTGCTCTCGTTAGCCCGCTGCTGCTATTTCGCTTATTCGTCGCCTGTGTTAGATCTACGTGTACGCACACTTTGCTTTGCTGCAGCTGCTACTTAGCAGATTCGCTGGCGCTCGCTCGCAATTCGTTTACACAGTTTAATTCGTAGGCGCTATTTGGTTGCCCTACGTCTACGCACATCGTTTCTTCGCTGCGGCTAATGCATTAAGGGGCTGCTGCTACTTATCTAATAGCTGTCGCCCACTAATAGTGTCACTTTCGCATTCGCTATTTTGCGCGGCCTAACTACTCGGCACTGCCCAACGTACGCCAAAGGAGGTTTGCCGGCTGTCGCTGCGGTCATTGTTGCGTCGCATCAAATAGAACACATCGCAGCGTAACTACACTACCTGCTTATATTCCATCGACTGCTCAGCTCATCGCACAACCCAACGTGCAGATTGTTGCGCACACAACATCGAATCATTTGGACTTGGTGTACAGCGAGTACTTGCACCGCTCTATCTGCATCACAATTTGCGCCGATTGCTGCTGATTGCCGCCACCTTTATACGCTGCGTTAAATTTGTTGAAAACGTTCATCATTGATACGACTGACTTTATTGTTTCACCAACCATTGTATAGTAAGTCATTTAATTTTAAGCTTATTTCACCATGTCTCTGGAAAGATTGAAACAATCTCGAGCTAGTACTAAAAAAAATATAACACGTATTAAGAATATTGTCAACGATAGTTTGAAACCAGGGGGACAGGCGCTGTCGCCAGCGGAGTACAAGTGTCGACTTGGGATTCTCGAATCCTACTTTAAGCAAATACTGTCGATACAATCAGAAATTGAAGAATTAGATCCAGAAGACAACGCCCGCGGGGATTTAGAAGATCTCTATGTAACGACGAAATTGAGTATTCAGACGCAATTGGGGGAGGACCATAACGCAACACTTTTAGATTCCACTTGCATAGTGCAAGCGAGCTCAAAATTGCCGCAGTTGAAATTACCCTCTTTTTCTGGAAAGTATTCCGAATACAGGAATTTCATCACGTCGTTCAAGCAAATTATTGATCGCGAACTAAGTCTTTCCAACATTGAGAAATTCAACCACTTGCGCAATTGCTTACATGGCCAAGCTTTGGAAGCAGTTAATGCGTTTCAAGTCACGAATGAAAATTATTCTAAAGCGTTGGAAAGACTTAGAGCTCGTTTCGACAATCCAACACTTATTTTTTTGGAAAACATCTCGTCGTTGTTCGAGCTTCCTTCGGTTTCAAAATCCAATTGTGTTGAATTACGAAGTCTCATTGACAACGCCTCTGCAATTTTCGGTTCTTTACGTTCCTTGGGTACCGAAGGTGAAATTGCCCAAGCCATGCTAATATATTTGGTTATACATAAGGCTGACGATGACACAAAAAAGAAATGGAAACAATCATTGGACTTTAAAAGGTTACCTTCTTGGGAAAACTGCACCGATGTTCTGGAAAGACATTGCCAATACCTCGAGTCACTTACTGGCAATAGCGCTTCCGCTCCGCTAACTCCGACAAATAGTAAGGGCTCGAGAGGACACAAACAACAGAAGAGTCATACATTTGCGCTTTCTAATTCGCCATGCGCGGTCTGTTCAAGCGGGAGCCATAAGATTTTTAATTGTGATCGCTTCAAATCTTTGACCGTCATACAGCGCTTTGAGCAAGTAAAACGAATAGGGCTCTGTATTAATTGTCTCACTAGAGGCCATCAGTTGTCAAGTTGTCCATCATTGCAAAGGTGCAAAATTTGTTCGCGACAACATCACAGCCTACTTCACCGTGCTACATCGAGTTCGCCAGAATCTTCCAACTCTTTGAATCAGTCACCTCAACCGCTATCAACACCAGGTTTGTCTGCGACCTCAAGTCGTGCTACCACTCACACTCACTTAAAACACTCTTCGTTCGATCAAGTAATTCTGGCTACTGCCATTGTCCTAGTTCGTGACGCTTCAGGCACCTATAGACAGGGCAGAGCATTGCTGGACTCTTGTTCACAAGCTAATTTCATTACCGACGAATTTTCCCAAAGGCTTTTGCTACCCAGAAGCAAACACAATATTGAAATCTGCAGTATTGGGCAGTCATCAACCAACATCAAGTACAAAACTACTACATGTATCAAATCCCGAACAACCGGTGTCGAATTGCCTCTAGCATTTTGCGTGACATCAAACATTGCTTACGAATCGGGATTGGAGATCGATATTTCAGCTTGGAATATACCATCAAATATAGAACTTGCTGATGAACAGTTTTATAAGTCCACACGAATTGATCTTCTTCTAGGCACCGAAACCTTTTTCAGTTTATTATCGGTCGGCCAGATTAAGCTTGGCGATAATTTACCAGTTTTGCAAAAGACGTTGTTGGGATGGGTTGTCTCAGGTCGCTACCAGTCAAATAGCAACAACATTAGATCATTATGTATGGTAGCTTGTAATGATGAACTAGATAAAAAACTGGAACAACTCTGGAGGCTCGAGGAAGTCACGTCCGTTGGAGACATGTGGACTCGTGAGGAACACAGTTGTGAACGCCTGTACACGAACACGGTTTCACGAAGCCAGACCGGAAGAATAATTGTCAAACTTCCATTTAAAGATGACCCCTGTTGCTTGGGTGCTTCGTATACGACTGCTCTGCGTCGTTTTATGTCACAAGAGCGCCGCTTGTGGCAGTCTCCAGAACTCGGAAAACAGTACGCTGCCTTTATGGAGGAATACGAAAACTTGGGACATATGAGTATTGTTGAGGAGCCAAATCTTAATGAACCTCACTACTTTATACCACATCACTGCGTCTTAAAGCCATCAAGCACTTCGACGAAATTGAGGGTTGTCTTTGACGCGTCCTGCCGCACCACTTCGCAAAGATCACTCAACGATATACAAATGATCGGGCCAACACTACAAAGAGAGTTAGTAATGCTCCTTTTAAGTTTTCGACTACATCGTTTCGCATTAACCGCTGACATTGTAAAAATGTACAGACAGGTGATCATAAGCCCAGAACATCGCAAGTTCCAATATATTCTTTGGAGAAAATCGTCTACAGATAAGATTAGTACGTACCAATTAAATACGGTTACTTATGGAATGGCCGCCGCACCATACCTCGCAATACGAAGCCTATTCTATTTAGCTGATCAGTACGCATCACAATTCAAAATAGGGTCAAACGTCATCAAATCATCGTTTTATGTAGACGATCTTTTATGTGGTGCCGATTCAGTCGCTGAACTTTTTCGAATCAAACATGAGGTAAGCGAATTGCTGAAATTGGGTGGGTTTGAGCTTGCGAAGTGGCACTCAAACCATCCGGAGCTCAAAGTTGTAGGAACTGTGAAGGATTTGAAACTGGACGATTCCATCACAAGCACACTCGGTATTAAATGGAATCAGAATTGTGACTCTTTCCTTTTCACATTTGAACCGAAGCAGCGTAGCAATAGCCGAATCACAAAGCGATATATTTTATCTATTGCATCTACCCTTTTCGATCCTCTTGGTCTTCTAGCTCCGGTGAGTATCACTGCAAAACTCATCATTCAGGAACTATGGCTGCTCAAACTCGAATGGGACGAGTCTGTCAGTCAAAGCATTCATATGGCTTGGTCCAAGTTTCTCAACGACATGTCGAATCTTAATTTAATCAAAGTTCCAAGATACTGTTTAGGAAGAAACATTCAATCGCTTCAGCTTCACGGATTCTGCGACTCGTCAATTCGTGCGTATGGCTGCGCAATTTATACGCGCGTAGTAGACAGTAAAGACAACATATTCGTACATCTTCTTATAGCTAAGTCGAGAGTCGCGCCTATTAAAAAACAAACGTTGCCGAAGTTAGAGCTCTGTGGCGCTTTGCTGCTTGCACGACTTTTTTCAAAAATTAAACCAATTTTTTCTAATCACAAACTTGACACGTATCTATGGACAGATTCGGAGATAGTTCTGCATTGGCTTAAAATGCACTCCGCTACGCTTTCTACGTTCGTCGGAAATAGAGTGTCCGAAATTCAGGATCTAACTGCTGACGTAAATTGGAGACACGTCCCGACTCAAAGTAATCCAGCCGATATTGTTTCAAGAGGCAGCACTGTAGAAGAACTCTTGAAATCGAATTGGTTCACTGGTCCGTCGTTCTTGTATGATAATGCACACAAATGGCCTGATAACAACTGCAATAACGTTGACATGGAAGTCGTAGAAAGGGAGAAACGCAAGGCAGTGTTCACTATAATATTAGCGTCGAATTACATTCTGGAAACTATTGACAACATTAGTTCATATATTCGTAGTATTCGATTAGTTGCTCAATTATTCCGTTTTTATAGCAAGCTGCAAAGAAACGTAACCGAGAACTGCCAGGACGGACCACTTTCATCGCAGGAGATGCATCACGCCTTGCTGTGTATTGTATGGAATATACAACAGCAGTACTTCGCTGAGGAACTCCGCCTGCTGAGAAAAGAGGCGATGGCAAGTGGAACATTGCGGTATCTTAACCCGTTCATCGAATCCGTTGAAGGATTCGAACTACTAAAAGTTGGCGGGCGCTTAGAGTTAGCGGATCTTCCTGATGCTCAAAAGCACCCAATTTTGCTGCCAGCAAAATGTCAATTCGTCGCTCGCTACGTTCATCATTTGCATGTCAGCAACTACCACGCAGGACCTAAGGCGTTAATAGGTTTAATTCGTCTTAAATTTTGGATAGTGAACGCGCGTGAAGTATCTAGACGCGTCGTCAAAAACTGCATCCACTGCGTCAGGTATAGACCAAAGTTGCTACAACAACTAATGGGAAACCTGCCGGTTGAGCGTTTGACACCGTCTCGGCCATTCGCACGCTGCGGCGTCGATTTTTGCGGTCCTGTCAATATATATCTCCGCATCAGAGGAAAGGCGCCCCATAAGGCTTACATAGCCATTTTCGTGTGTTTGGCATCAAAGGCGGTACACATTGAGGTCGTCTCAGACCTCTCCACGGATGCCTTTCTAGCGTCACTGAAACGCATGATCGGACGACGGGGCTTACCCTCCGATATCTTTTGCGACAACGCTACCAATTTTGTTGGCGCGTGCAATAAACTCAAAGATTTGAAAGCGTTTCTGTTTAAACAGGAGCATCAAGAATCCATCATTAAATATTGTGCCAACGAGTTTATTAATTTTAAATTTATTCCCCCTAGAGCACCTCACTTTGGCGGGATATGGGAAGCTGCTGTCAAATCAGCCAAGGGTCACCTTAATCGTAGCCTCTGGGATACAAGAATGACGTTTGAGGAATTGTCTACAAGCATGGTCGAAATAGAAGCAATTTTAAACTCTCGCCCGATAGCACCGCTTTCGAATGACCCCAGCGATTACGAAGCATTAACACCAGGCCACTTCATAATTGGGAGCGCCCTTAAGGCCCTTCCAGAGCGCACAGTCTCAGCTAACATCGATCACCATGAACGATGGACTCGATGGACTCGACGCTGGTCAAGCAAGCATTTTGGTCGTGGTGGTCGCGCGACTATATAAATGAACTACAGATGAGAAACAAATGGTCAACTGAGCGTCCAAACGTAGCGAATGATACCATGGTCATAATACATGAAGATAACGTTCCCCCGATGCGCTGGCAATTAGGCAGAGTGGTTAACTGCATTGCTGGTAGTGATAGGCGCATAAGAGTAGTAGACGTCCGCACAGCGAAAGGAATCATCAGGCGACCCATTCATAAACTCGCAATACTGCCTGCTTGAAAGTCCTTTCAATGGGGCCGGGATGTTTGGTCACAGTTGAGAACACCTGTTTAACATATTTGACATGTCATAAGTATTGAAGAGCTACTCATTTGTGTATTCTCAGAGTTTGTACTCTTATTCCGTATACATACATCATTTTTCGTTAAGTTGAGCATTGTATGTACATAGCACATTCATATTCATATAGAAGTAAGCACACTCGCTGTAAGGCGGAGAAAGGGCATTTATTGTAACTAAAACAAATTGAATAAACACACTCGTTTTGGAAGTCAATCAGAGCGCATCGTTTGCCTTTTATTTAAAGTTTGCAACTAGCATTTTGGTAAATATTTTTAATATATTTTGCGGTTGTGAAAATCCTCACAATCCTACACCTACTACAGGCGGTTTTCGTTGGAAATGAAAGTGGAGGTTGAGTGGAAGCTGGCACGAGCGAAAGTGCAAAACATGCGCGACAGCTGCAATAAAGCCAAAGGTTGGGAAGGATCAACCGGCGCCGGCAGCATGGATGGCGAGACTATTCAAAGTAGGAAATAGCAATATGGGCCATTCCTGCAGCTTTAATTTTACGATTTTTTATTTCAGCCATTTTACTTAAAAAGTGCACATTTTTTACGAACTTGGCAACATTTTTGGCAATAGGCTCGTTGAAGCGGCTGTCATTGAAGACAGTTTGGACTCCGTATGAGAAGATAGTTTCAATTCAACAGAGCTCGTGTTCGAAGAAATCCTAATGTCGCCAACAAATGTAAATGTTGAAACCGAAAACACAGCTTCCACAAGCCGTAAGGGGATTTATTCTCGAACTGCACCTACAGATATAATGGAAATGCAAGCAGACATGTTAAATGTGAGGAAGCAGAAAGCTGACCAAGACTTTAGGTTGAGAGAAGAGTTAAGTTTAAAAAAAAATAATGTAAAAAATATATATTTTTTTTATTTAATCTGTACAATCAAAGGAATAAAATGAAGCAAGAAAATTTTGTCAAAACTGCACTAGAATGAATAAAATAAAATAGGTTAAGGTCTCGTTAAAGTTACTAAAAGCCATTTAGTGAAAGGAGTTATTCAAACTCTAATGAAAATTACTAACAATTTGTACTAATTTACTTCGTTTTTAAAAAAGCTTGTCGCGCGAATAGCAAACCGGCATTTAAATATCTGCATACATACATATATATACATACATACCTAACCAATTATGCATGTACGCTGAATTCGCCGACAAGCTTTTTTAAAAACGAAGTAAATTAGTACAAATTGTTAGTAATTTTCATTAGAGTTTGAATAACTCCTTTCACTAAATGGCTTTTAGTAACTTTAACGAGACCTTAACTTATTTTATTTTATTCATTTTAGTGCAGTTTTGACAAAATTTTCTTGCTAAAAGATCTCTTGTTACACTACTTCATTTTATTCCTTTGATTGTACAGATTAAATAAGAGCTTGTTTTTAAAAAATATTTTTTTTACATTATATTATTTTATAATTTCTAGTCCATTTATGAAAGTGTTATTTTATTTTATGAACAAAATTTTGCAATAGATATTAAAATAATTCAACTTGCAATGAAAGATAACAGAAGACTTGGCAAGCAAAATGTTGCTTACGTTTTGTATAAACATACATATGTACATATAGGAGCAGTTACCCACCATGCAAAACATGAGAATTAGGCAACAATCGTCAATGGCAACAAATTGGCGGCTCACCGATTTATTGCTGTGGTGACAAATCGGCAACATCACTTCATTCATGTCAATTTTGAATAAAAAAGTTCTCAAAAATTCCGAAACTTATGAATATGGCGTCAATAGTATTGGCCAAAAGCAACTAAATTATGCCCAAGGACAAGATTGAAAAAATAGGAAGCCTCACAGGGAGAAAATGAATTAATTCCGATTGTAAGTTGCAATTTGGTATACAAAAAAATAAATGAAGTATTAAAAAGAATAAAATTATTCCAAATATCGCCTGAAGCGATAAGAAAAGGACTTATTCAGGTAATAAGAAAACGACTCGCCCAGGCGAGTTGCCTTCGGCGGACGTTTTAAAGCGACCGGTAATAGGAAATCGATTCGATGGCAATATTACCGGCAATAAATTTGTTTCCGAGGGCGACACATTTTCTTATTGCTGGCAACACAAATTGTTTGGTGGGTAATTTTGTTTAAAGCAGTGCTGCTCAAAATTTTTATATTGAAGTGAAATCACAATACATCTAAAAAGTTTATGTGTACACTGAGATTTTTTTTTGTAATTTAAATGAAGCTAAAAAGTACAAGTTTATTTTTATTGTACGATTAGTGAATGAAAATTGTTAGCAATGGGAGTCTTTACATACATATTTGTGAAAAATACAGTTAGGAAATGATAGCGACCTAGTGACTGAAAAGTCCCAAAATTTAGTGGGAGGAATCCTTGGACATATTTACAACATATTGCAAGCTCAAATTTTACATTTTCATTCGTATCATTGGGATACTCCTCGCATATAAAAGTCCCATTTTAAAGCGTTAATAAATGATAGCACCATTGAAGCAATATGCTATACAATTTAAGGAGGGCGCCTTAAATCAAGGGTGGACAGGAGTTAAGAGTTTCTCCAACATTAATTTATAATTTTATTTTTTTGCGCGAAGGTTGCCGCACATTTATTGGCATTTTCCATCAAAGTCGCGAAAATTATTTTTTCTGCAATCCGACGTTGGAAGAATATCTGCAATCCTATCAATGTTACGCGGTGTGATGCTCCCAGGCATCTGCATTGGATTTAGATTGGAAATCAATCATTTTCTATATCCCCTTTGAAAATTTCCAAAAAGTTTTGATTGCAAGTTACAAAATGGCTTTGCAAGTAATATTTCGCCATTCGTTTAATAATTACAAAGCACAACATACACTAGGTACGCTTCGCACTCAAAATTTCAAAAAAGATGTCGCGCTTCCATACTTTAATGAACGCCATGTATTTTTTTCAATAAATTTCGTTTTCACTTTCAGTAAATACGAATGTTAAATCCATTTATAATATAAATTTTTTTCAGTGCTGATATATTTTGTATTATTTTTTCATTCTATAATTGCTTGTGAAAATTTGTACATTTTACTGGAGTGCCTTAGCTTCATATGCGAGGGCGTTTCCTTTGCCCTTCCATATGAAACTCAGGCACTTTCATTTGCATTGTATTTATGGCTGCATTTCTTTATTCATTCTGAACGTTTGGAATAAACTTTTTTGTTTATTTATTCTTTAGAACGTTCCTGATGATATGTTGACGTATATTTCAAACACATTCTGTTTATTCCGGCTGCGAAATTGGGTTATCCGGAATGTATAAAGAAACGCAGCCTATATGTCAGGGCATATGGGAGGGCGATACATTTTTTTTTTGTATTTAAAGTGAAAATTTGTATATGTGCCTATACTTCAGGGGAAAACAAAAACAAATGTGCTACAAGTGCTTATGGAGTGAGCAACTCTGGTTTAAAGAAATGGCGTGTCGTCCATTTCCGCTGTAGCAATGCAAATATTTAGGCGCAATATTTAACTTCTTCTCGCGGGGCGACATCTGGAGTCTTCTAATTGGATCTCCTTAATATGATGCCTACAACGAGGTTCATATCTAGACTAGGTTGAATTTGCCACAAATAGCTTTGCTACACTACCGCCGCGGCGCGCTGGCAGCTTTAACAATTTTATAGTGGTCTTACGATCTTTGGCAAATTACGCTCTGTTAGCCAAAAATCGTACTATTTTTTGACCGCCTTTGAATCAAGACCCCTGCACCATATGGGGAATTCATTTATATTTCAAATTGCATTGTCATCGTGATTGGAACTATGCTGAAAATTTCAAGTCTCCAACTTGTCGGGAAGTCAGTTTAAAATCGATTGGAAATTTCCGCGATTTGCGCGGGATGACCAAGTTAAATAAAAGCTTATAAGAAACGAATTAGCATTGAAGGAAAAAGAAATGGAATCAAGAGAAAAGGAGATGAAGAGTAATGATAGGCTAAAAATTATGGAGCTAGAAATGATGGAGAGACTGGCAGTGGAGGAGCTTAACCGAAAATATAAATAAGAAAGAACTACTCACCTACATACATACATACATATGTGTGTAGGTACATACATATGTACACATATCATCCCTACCATGTTGAATTATCGAATGTGTGTGTTTTTTATAATCGTTATTTTGGTTTAGAGTGTTTAGTTGGAAATTCATCGAAGTATCTCAGCTTATGCCATTGTTATAAATTCGACAATGTTTCAACTTAATCCTTTTTTTAGCGATGACATGTAGTATGTATGCGTGTATGTACATATATGTACACTAAACGTATTTTAGTGCTTACGTACAGTGAATATTTGTTTATTAGTTTGTTTGCTGTCTTCTGGGACGTACAGCGTTCTTTATATCATTTCATTATTTTTTATAAAACAAAAGTACAAATTACAAATATAAATAGATATGTATGAATGTATATGTATAAATACATATGCACACATTTTGTACACAACGTTTTTTATGGAAGAAGCTTATATCTCATCCTGTTTTCTGAGGTATATGTATATATCGTCGTTTAAAGTACAAAACCACGTATCGTAATTCTGCAAAACCGCGTAACTGACATTGGCTGCCAAAAATTGGATTTGCTCACACAAGCTCTTTGCTCAATCCTTATCCATTCGTCCTGAAATATACTAGCCAGAAATGCGATTGCTTTATAAAAAGAGAACCATTTTGAAATATGAGTGTTTTACGCTCTGGAAAATAACTTCTACAAGTTCAATTACGCGGTTTTGCATTTTTGCTGATACGCGGTTTTGCATTTTGTTGATACGCGGTTTTGCACTTTAAACGACGATATGTATATACATATGTACATATCGAACACGTTCTTCAAAAGTGGATTAAACAAATTTTTCAAAAAACAAAGTTAAAAATATTGTTCAAGCTTTTGCTGGGAAGTAAATATTTTTATTTGGAGTCAATTCTCTTTAGAAGAACGTTTGCGAAATGTTGAACAATATTTTTCGGTAGACCTCAGATGAATACTTTGGGAAATTTAAAAACACAAAGGTGCCCAACATTGGCATCAAAAAAAAAAAGAAATTACACAAACTTTGAAGAATTAAACTGAGTTAAGTATGTAAATTAATTTAAATTGTACACATTCAATTTGTAGATACATACATATGTACAGTGACGAACAAGAGTATTAGCACAGGGAATTTTTCGCAATATATGCATAGTTTTTTTATTCTAATTTATTT